GCCATGAAACCTTCCACACTAGAATGAGAGGTGTTACAGTTTCATTGTCCAACCCCTGTAACTATATCTTAACTGGGCGGCTTGTTGTGGCGTTTTTTAACAGATGTTTGAGCTGGAAAAGCTGGACTCTATCTGGCAACACCGCCTCTGCTCTGTCTGGTGCTGAAGTTAGGAGGTTTTTCACAGCTTCCATCTGCTTCTGCTTGAGGTTTCCTCCTGTTAAAGTCTCAATTCCATTCAGTTTATTTCTATAGCACCAATTAATCCAGTCAGATTGGTTCAAAGGTTACTATGTTAGACATTAATCCCCAACCCAAGGCCCCAGCCCATGTGTCAGTTGTTACTGGGCCACACAGCAAGAGAAAATAACCTCTTTTATTTCCGACTGATTTATTTCCTTCATCTGAACAAAGGTGTTTTATTTTGAAAAATGCCCAGATTATCTCTCTCCATGCAATCTGTTGGTTTACCTTAAATAGAGAAGGTTTTAACCAAACTGTCTCCATGATTATGACTCTATAAAGTGCTCTGAGAAGACGTGGTGTCAGTTGGCGTTATTTGCTAGTCTAATGTTAGTAATCCAAATACATCAAATATGGAGCAGCATTTCTGGACTACTGATAATCAATCCCACAACAAGATGTCATCAGCCTGCCATGCCCTACAATAACCTACAATGACCTGCCATGACCTACAATGAATCTGCCATGACCTGCAATGACCTGCCATGACCTGCATCGACCTGGAATGACCTTCCACAACTTACAATCACCTGCCATGACTTACAATGATGTGCCATGGCCTTCAATGAATCTGCCATGACCTACAATGAATCTGCCATGACCTGCAATGACCTGCCATGACCTGCATCGACCTGGAATGACCTTCCACAACTTACAATCACCTGCCATGACTTACAATGATGTGCCATGGCCTTCAATGAATCTGCCATGACCTACAATGATGTGCCATGACCTTCAATGAATCTGCCATGACCTGTAATGACCTGCCATGACCTGGGTGATTGTGAATCTATGCAGGCAACATGTCGCTCTATTTTGATTTGGCTACATTTAGTACTATCTGGGAATTTTGATGCCACAAAAAATTGAATAGAGGTCTGTATAAAAGAGTAAGAGAATTCACAAAAGACTGAATAAGTATTAAATATAAATAAGAACAAATGATCCTCTCCTTGGGTTGCCACCTTATCGTGGTGGAGAGGTTTGAGTGTCCCATTGATCCGGGGAGCTATGCTGTCTGGGGCTTTATGCCCCTGGTAGGGTCACCCAAGGCAGACAGGTCCTAGGTGACGAACCAGACAAAGCGCAGCCCAAATACCCTTATGATGAGTACGATCTTTGGATTCGGCGTTCCCTCGCCCGGTTCGGGTCACCGGGGCCCCACTCTGGAGCCAGGCCTGGACGGGGGGCATGATTGCGAGCGCCTGGTGGCCGGGCTTTTACCCATGGGGCCCGGCCGGGCTCAGCCTGAAGAGGAAACATGGGTCCCCCCTTACATGGGCCCACCACCCGTGAGAGGGGCCATAGGGGTCGGGTGCAATGTGTGTCGGGTGGCGGCCGAGGGAGGGGACCCTAGTGGTCCAATCCTCGGCTGCAGAAGCTAGCTCTAGGGACGTGGAACGTCACCTCACTGGTGGGGAAGGAACCAGGGCTAGTGTGTGAGGCTGAGAGGTTCCGGCT